AATCTACATTGAGTAATGAAATGGGTCTGTAATTCCTAACTTGGGTCCGGTCTAAATCTTCTTTGTGTATTAACGTAATAATGGTTTCTGTCCATGATTTTGGGATTTCAGCTGTCAATAATGCTGCGTTGAAGATTTGTAGCAATATTTCGTCTATTTCTTGTTGGGAGTGTTTATAAAATTCAGTAGGAATTCCATCTGGTCCTGGAGTTTTATTGTTCTTTTGTTTTTTACGAGCTTCAGTCAATTCAGTCATTGTTATGGGACGGTTCAGGGTCTCTCTATGTTCTTCTTCAAATTGTGTAATATTCACTTTACTAAGATATTTTCGAATTTGGTCTTCCGGGACATCTTCCTGCCGATAGAGATTCTGAAAGAATGTTTTGGCTATCTTTTTCTTATCTACGTGTGTATGGAATAAAGTTCCTGATTCGTCCTGGAGTTGGTGTATAATTCTTTTGTCTGTTTGCTTTTTTAATTTATGGGCTAACCAGCGTCCAGTTTTATTTGCGTGTTCAAAGTTGGTCTGTTTTGCCATTTTTATTTTTTGTGCCAAATCAGCTTTTGTAGTCAAATTCAATTTGTGTTTAGCCAAGTTAAGTTTTTGCTGTGCTATCTTATTATTAGGGTGCTGTTGTAATTTAGTTTCTTCTATCTTGATTTCTTCCAATAAGTCATTCCTGATTCTTTGTTTCTCTTTTTTTCTCTTTGCCACGTATGCAATGGTTAGGCCCCTAATATATGCTTTCGTCGTGTCCCATAGATTTTGTAACGACGTTTGGTCCTTTGTGTTAATTTGGAAAAATACCTTAATCTCTTTTTCCATCATTTGTAGATATTCTTTTTCCTTTATAATGCTTGTGTCCATTTTCCATCTTTTTTGTTTTCGGGAGCCTTTCCAAATTATTTTGATGGGGTTGTGGTCAGCCCACATGTTAGGCATAATTTCTACGTCGTGTGTTTCTTTACTTAGTTGGGGTGTCATCCAGGCCATATCCAATCTTGACCACGATTGATGTGGGCCAGAAAAGTATGTATACTGTTTGGTTGTAGTATTTAACTCTCGCCAAGTATCATGTAGACTCATTTCTTGTACCAAGTTCTTGAATGTTTGTGGCAGTGTCTTCCTTTTGATTTTGTTCTTCCTGTTACTATAGTAGTCTTCTCGTGTATTGACAATTGCATTAAAATCTCCAACAATGCAGATATTTTCATAATCCAGCTCTTTTAATTTATCTTGTAATTTTTTATAAAAGTCTATTTGGTTTCCATTTGGGGCGTAGATGGCTACTAACAGTATTATTTTTGTTTCCAGTTTTACTTCTATTATTAAGACTCGACCCTCTTTGTCCACATATATCGGCTTTGTTCTTATATGGTCTCTAACATATATTACCACTCCCCTTTTTTTACAGTCGCCTAAGGATGTGTACATTACTCCTAATTTTTTATTTTCGAGTAATTTTTTCTGTTGTTTTTTTATGTGTACCTCTTGTAGGGTGATTATATCTGCTCCTAATTTTTGCAGTTTAGTGAATATCTGATGTCTTTTGCTTGGTGAATTTAGACCATTTATATTTATAGAGATGAGTTTTAGTTCTTCTTCCATTTCTGGTGTTGTTTATTTGTCTGTTGTTTTGAGTTTTGATGTGTTTCTTGTGACTCTTTGTGTGATCCCCGTCATTTCCTCCTTCCCCAGCTTTCCCTTCTTCCGCTCCTTGTCCTCCTTATTTATTGGTTGCTCTTCTTGGTCACTGGGGTTTGAATCTTCTCTGCCTCCTCTGCTCTCCTGTTCTCCTTCATATCCTAAATGTTGGTCTGCGAAGTCCTGGGCTTTTTCTATGGTGTCGATTCGAAATTTTCTTCCTTCCCAAGAGATAAGTATTCCTTCTGGTATAAGCCATCTAAATTTAATCTTGAGTTTATTTAACTGTCGGGTTAAGAAGTTATATTCTCTTCTCCTATCCCTGGCCCTTCTCGGTACTTGTTTTAGCGTTAGAACTTCCCTCCCTTTGTACATGACTGTCTCCTCTCTCATCTTTCGGTATATTTCTTCTTTCATTGTTTTTTTTGTAAATCTGATGTGTACTTCTTTAGGGAGTTTGTTTCTTCTGGCATAGTTTGTGAAGGCCCTGTAAATTTCGTCGATACCACCTCTTATTTCATCCTTATCCTTATGTGTCGCCTCTGCCAAAATTCCAACCATAATTTCGCCCAAGTCTTCCTCTCTCTGTTCTTCTATATTTTGAAATCTTAAGTAGAAAGATGCCTTTTCCATTTCGAGAAATGTCAGTGCGTCTTCTGTGTCTCGACTTCTTGTTGCTTGTTGGTTCTCCATCTGTTCCAACCTGGTAGCTGTGACTTCCACCTTTTCCTCAACTTTATGGATTCTCTGTTCATTTTCGGTTATATTTTGTTGAATTTTCTCTATTTTTTCATCTATATTTCTAATCTCATCTTTAATTTCCCCTACATCCAATCGCATTTGTTCATGGTTCTTTTTGGTTTCATCATGATTCAGGGTCATCTTATCTTCCATCCTTTTCATTCCCTCCTGAATCATTGCAAGGGCAGCTTGGATGTTTTGAATACCTATGTTGGTCTTTTCTTTATCTGTTGTTTCCCCTGTCTTCTGCTGGACCGGGGAAGCCACCAATAGTGTTTGGGTTGGGGGTATTTTCTTGGTTGATTTAATAGTAGTTGGTATGTTTGAGGTTGCCATATCTATTATGCTTATTATTTTTGCCCACAATTTCATAAAATTCTCAGGTCTAATGTTTATAACCTAGATGCAGGATTATTTTTACAAGGTTTTTTCAGAGTATTTCTGGTTAATAATACGATATTGGGAAAACAGCAAAAAGGAAGGCGGGGGGGGGAAGCAAGAGAAGGGGGAAACAACGGGGAAAAAGTAAGCTTCTAACAATTCATTAGTTACCTTATTCTTCAATTACTTACAAAATAAAATGTATTTTATTCTAATAGTTCTAAAATAGTATCAATATCAATTTAATTATTATAGTTCTATCTAATTATTTAAAATCATTTACTGTATATGAATAAATTAATTAAATATAGTTGAAGATAATATGCTATAAATGTTTAATTAATTTCAAATAAACAAATTAGACAAACTACTTAAGAAAAAAACTAATAAGTTATTAAAGGTTATTCTCCGGGTCTAGTATCTTATGATATATAGTAGAATAAACTTAAATCAAGCCAAGCATATATATATTGTCCATTAATTATAATCTTTTATCTTTCTTGGTGTTATGTAAACTTATCTTTCTTCCAACCAAATACGGTTCCAAAGGTCTGAGTCACCCTATTCACTTTAATTATTCCACGATCCAATTTAATCTATAGTCCTCTGTATTCCTGTTGTTAGAATCCACATCCGATCCCCAGAGTATAATGTTGTATCCTCTATTTAAGTCCTTATCATCTGGTTCACCAAGTATTAGTCAATATTTAAATTGTTCAATCCAAACAGTTCAGTCTCTAGTAGTCAAATAATCAAAGTCCCTCACACTTTGTATCAGTTTTGTATCCTAATCTTCGCAAGAAGTATCACTAAAAGATAGTTTGTATAAATCCACTCCAATCAATTTTACCGGGGTTTGTCCCAACTCTCCGCACTCTCCCACAGACTTTTTCTTCTTTGAATTATCTAATTCAATCCACTCTGGCCACTCCACGTCAGTAAAATCCAATACGATCAATTTATAAATCCACTCTGGCCACTCCACATCAGTTAAATCCAATACAATTTGTAGAAATCCGTCCAGGTTCCTCTCCTCTCCTCCGATCTCCGGCACTCCACACTGCACACGCTCTCTCCGCTCGCTCCGGTGCTGCACGTTCTGTTCTTATTTGTCCAACTCTCTCCGCTCGATCCAGTCCACACTCATAAAGTCCAATAATAATATCAAAATCTTTTTAAATTATTCACTATTCTCGTTGCAGTGTTCATAGGAATTACCTTCTTCCGTTCTTCCGCTCTCACTGTACACTCAGCTGTTCAGATTTTTGCGCTGTCACTTTGCTTTCAAAATGGCTCCATTCTGATCTATCTTCCGTCGCCGCTTATCCTCTTTCTTTTTTCGGGTTTCTCTTCCACCAGCGCTGCTTCTTATTATCAGGTAGTTTTTTGGGTTTTTCTAGATAATAGTCTTCTGTTGATGACCTCTTATAGTTTTCAATCTTCGCTTCCCTCTTATACAGTTATCAGCGCCTCTGGCCAGTCCCGTAAGGCTAGTTTTTCCTCACTCTGGATTAAGGGCTTAATCTTGTACCTTCAGAGAAGTTGCGATCTCCTCTGAGGTCCTAAGATGTTCCCCTTTAAGCTATTGATCACTACGAGATCAATAACGCCTGTTTCGGCTCCAGATGCGGGATTGTTAGGAACTCAGGAGCGGAGCATCGCCCCTTTCGTCCCTAACGCGCTGAGATCGCCGCCGGAAGTCTCGATACGCCCCTTCTCATTGGGTGGAGACAGCACCAGCCCTACTCTTTATTCAGTCTGGGATATAATGTTGTATATATATATGCTTCCACACACAGAGTCTGTCTTCCTCCTTCGACAAAAGCTGGGAGCCCCTAACAACAGGGGCAGAATTTTACTAAATTGACAGGCTCAGTCCCACATTCTGACCAATGAGCACAACCCACATCTGGCTGCTGTCTCCACCCAACGAGAAGGGGTGTATCAGGCAGGACCAACACCCCTTTCAAGAGCTCTGCCAAAAATGGAATCCAGCAAGCTAGGAAATGCTGCTTTAGAAAATGGAAACTGAAACAGAAGAATGTAAGAAGCTCTTGTCAAGAAAAGAACTTCCAGAAAAAGAAAACCAGAATGAAAAATGGGAAATTAAAAGAGAAAAGCCTGCATTGGCTGTTAGATCAAAGTGAGAAATCAGATGGATTTGAAGTAATAAGGCAAAATATTGGCTGTAAGCCTTTAGTTTAGTTTGTAAGATAGAAGTAATATTTCTTACCTCAAATGCTGTTTTGCTTCTCTTAATACAATATACAGCAATATATTCTGGAACAGCAAAGAAAGACAAAGTCTCAGATTATAAGGAGCAACAGCTTTTCAGTATCTATTTCTGACATGTTCTGGCTTCTGAAATAACAAATGATGGCAGATGCTCTGCAATTCTCTATTTGGCAATCTGGTTTTATTTGAAACAAATAAGGACAAAATGTTATCAGGTGTACTAAATTAGCATGCAGAGAATTTTGCGAAATGATTTGCAAAAAATGACTGGGTTGTCTCACTATTTCTCCATAAATTTAAATTGCCGTAATTGTAGCATGTAAAAAACTTAGCAGAATCAGTTTTGTTATTCTTAGCAGAATCGGTTTTGTTATTTTTAGCTATTGTAGAGATTTTCCATTTAAAAAAAATATTTATCAAAACAACATTATTTTATTCTGTTCAAGTAATACATTGACACAGTATGTCTACGTGTTGATTTGCAGTAAACTATAGAAATCTGCATTAGCTGGATCCATAGCAGCCACTCTGAAAGATTTGCTTTCCAAACCATAACAGACTGCTCTCTAATTTTGGTCAACATGCTATATTGCTAGCTATAGGAATTTCTTAAAATGCTATATACTGGAGTGCAATTATAATTTGAACATTAAGAATGTCTTGAATTTAGATGGTTGCCCAGATTTATATTTTACATAATAACCACACAGTCATTCATTTCTTAAATGTTTCTCAGGTTTCTTTTGTATGTAGATGCAGTATTGATATACAATAGCACTATTTACAACAAGCCACGCTGCATATCTCTGTTGCAGATACTGATTTTAATCTTCTCTCTAGAACAACCGACCATGTACCCCTAGTCACACTACTCGTTCCTATTTTTAAAAAAGCTATCTTTGAAATTTAAACCTAAACACAAAGAGACATATACAAATGGACCTACACATAAATACATTTATACAAATACATAACGCAACAACATGTAAGACTCCACCAATCTGATCCCAAGAAGATGTTCTAAAAGGCTCAAGACTCTATTATTTCTTCTCCACCTTTATATGGATACTGGATAGTTTGGTGTTGATCTTTTGCTGCCTACTAAGCCCTGTTAGCCAGCCACATCATAGAATATACAGTACGTGTCTTAGAGCAAAGCAAGTATGATACAAGTTTTTAAAAAGTATCTTAAAAAGTATAATTGAAAAATGGTGAAAGACATAATTAACAAAAAGAAAATATCCTATTTATGTAGGTTATTAGTGTAGAACCATAGTGACTCAGTGGTTAAAATGCAGCATTGCAGGCTAATTCTGCTGACTGCCAACTGCCAGCAGTTTGAGTCTCACTGGCTCAATGCTGGCTCAGCCTTCCATCCTTCCGAGGTCGGTAAAACGAGGACCCAGATTGTTGGGGACAATATGCTGACTCTGTAAACAGCTCAGAGAGAGCTGTAAAGCACTGTGAAGCAGTATATAAATCTAAGTGCTATTGCTATTGCTAGAAATTTGAATAAACAAGATCTACTAAGAAGCACACATATAAACTTTTGACATCTTTTCATTCCTTCTGGTATGTAGCAGTTTTGCAAGGTGATTTTAAATAGCATTTCTTTCATTTATTCAAAAAGCAATAAAAATCCAATTTTTCTCACTAAAATCAATAATACATATATATATATAACACATATATTTAAAACTCTATTCATCTGTTCAACTGCATCTGATTTTCAGACACTTTATTGATTAACACTTTCCATTCTTTGTGATATTTTACAACTTTGTTTAATGTTTCTAGGTTTAAATCAGTATCTTGATTGATAGTGTCTATCCAGATATTCTTAGCCAGTCTCATTTTCTACCCCTCCTGTTATTTTTTTAAAACAGGGTATAACTGAACTCACAATAAATTTACCATGTGATATGCAACTGAGACAACTAAATTTATATTTGTTTTGGCATTTGAAGAAAAATCAAATGTCTGTGATGAAACATAGCTGTGACTATATTTAATTGATTCAATTATCAGCATTTTAAAGCATTACAGTAAGACTTTGATTTAATGGATCATGTGAGGAAAGAATATCCATTAAACTTCTGTCTGTTAAATCCAGACTTATATAAATGATGTAATTTAAGTCATTTGTGTAATTTTGTAATTATGCAAATGATGTAAACTGTCATAAATTAATGGAATGTTATATATAATTATGTAAATAAAGTACAGTGACATAAATGACATAAATATGTCAATCATCTAGACTGACCTCAAAAACCATTGTTTCAGATGGAAAATTCAAATGTAAATTAAAGTACATTAAAATAAGTTTGTTAAATGGAGGTTTCCCTGCTTCTTCACTAGTTATTATCCATTACTGTAATTCAAAAGACCAATACTGTGCTTGAATTGAAATGCTGTGGTTATTAATCCATTATTTTGTAACAAATCATTTGTCACTGATACCACAAAAATATGGTAAGCATGTGTGCTTGTAGTGTGTGAAACTCTGATAATGCAAACAGTTGCCATTGTTGAGCTGTTATCTGTAGTTTAATATGAGTGCCTTTGGAAAATAGGAATATTAAGTGGAATGCACTGAAATGCCATATTAGTAATTTGCTATTAATCAAAATGTAAATTTATGACATCTCTATAATTGCTAATTATAACCAATTTCAGTATGACTTCTCAGACCAAGACATTTTTAGTATGTAATGTGATACTACACAAATCTAGTTTTATGCATTTTACTCTGGTCATTGGGATGTGCCAATGATATCACATTGGCACTGTAGGTTTATGTCAAGGTTTGCAAAGCTGCCAAATTCCGAAAGGAAGAACAACTTGGATATCTGGAATAGTCCTTATTGCTAATAGGGAAATGTAACCGAATTCTAAAAGCTAAAATAAGTAAATTATAAAATAAGTCTTCCTCTCAATTTATACCTGGTATAATCAAGATGGAGTTTCTCTGGGTATTTTACTTTCTTCTCCACCTCTTCCAGACTCAAGAATCACTTCCACAATATCCTTGAATAAATGGAAATCATGAGGATTAGAAAAAGAATTGTCTACTCTGTCACAGAAATTTTATGATATACCAGGCCAAATATTTTTCAGTCCATGAATTACATTGATTTAATAGTAATTTTATCCAAGATGCATTGTTTTAGGAACTATAGTAAGATGCGTCACAAACTAAGTTAGAGAAAATACAGCAATCCTCCTCAAAGAAGCAATGTCTTTTGGAAGACTTCAACTGTGTCTGTACATTTAAAAGTTGCAATATTTAAGAAACAGTGCTTTTAAAAAGGCTGTCTTCAATTGATTTTGCTAGAAGTCCCCGTGATTCTGTAGAACTATTTTCTATACATACACAATTGGAGCCTTTAGTAATTAACCTGAGCCTTCCAAATGAATTGAATGATTTAATGCTCCAGGAAGAAGCTTTTTTCATGCAAACATGCTTTATAAAGCACCTATTTCAAATATTTTATGTAGTTCTATACTTTATAGAACTTTACCCAAATGCTTAACTGATTTTTTGCTATGGTCTCTGCTCTATCCTCATCTAATAGAAAATTGTAGGTTTTCGATAGCATTTTCTTATCCGTTCCCCAAATAATTTTATCAAAATATCCATATTTTGTTTCAATACCACATTTATCTCTATCTTTTTGAAATCTAGAATTTATCTGGAGATAGTTCCACCAATCCAGGTTGAACCCCTGGTCCCTCAATACTTCCAAAGGTTTGAGCTTTCCTTCTTCATCCAAGATGTCCTTATATGTGCCCAATTTATAATTTCCTCTCCTATTTGGGGCCACTAAAGCTTCCATAATCAACAACCAGCTAGGAACCTTGGTATAAATCCTCTGTCTGATTTCCACCCACGTACGAATCAGTGTCTCCCTAATTTTATGTTTATGAAAATAAGTTTTCCTCCTATCCTTTGTATCCCAGAGGTAAGCATGCCATCCTTCAAGGAGATCATGTCCTTCTAGTGTCAGAATTCTCCCATCTTGTAGCTTGATCCACTCCTTTATCCAAATTATTTTTGCCGCCTTTTGATATAATTCCCAGTCAGGGAGCCTGAACCCTCCCAAATTTCTTTTCCCTTGAAGTATCTTAAGAGAGATCCTCGATTTCTTGCCCTCCCACAAAAAGTTCCTGATATGTTTATTCAAGTCCAGAAAAATTTTTTTATCTAGTGATATCGGTATATTTTGGAATAGAAATAGAATTTTAGGTAAGATGTTCATTTTGATTGCCGCAATTTTACCAATCAGGGACAATTTAAGCCTTAGGATACAGCCTTAATTTCAATGATTGGGAGATAGCTTGGAACAGGAATTATAAAATAACGAAATCGGCAACATTCAGAGAAAATCACTACAAAATGTTGCATAGGTGGTACCTAGCCCCGGACAGGCTGGCGAAAATATTCCTAAACCTCTCTGCTACATGTTGGAAATGTGGAAATACGGTCGGCACCTTCTATCATCTTTGGTGGACTTGTCCTGAGACCAAAAAGTTCTGGTTAAAGATTCGACTCTGGCTCTCTGAAATAACGGGACAGGAGATAGTCCTGGCCCCGGAATCCTTTCTCTTAGGTATGACTGAAGATGGTCTCAACAATAACAAAACCCAACTTGTAATTCAAATCACAACTGCGGCTAGACTAGCTTTTGAGAAACTCTGGAAAAATAAATCTACGCCCTCAGAGGAAATATTAATAAATAAAATTCTAGAGTGCGCAGAAATGGCAAAATTGATGAGCAAGTTAATAAATGAGGAGAATTCTAAATATTATGAAGTATGGGGAAATTGGTATAACTGGTTGAAGAACAAGATAAAAGTAAGATAATAGGTTATGACTTGTTAGGCACTAGAATTGGACTTAATTGTATAGAATTGTATAGAATTGTATAATATATCGTATAGTTATGGATGGAATCCATCCAACGTTTGACTCACCAATTGTGTAAACACTGTACCTCGGATCAAGATAGAGATTGTATATTATCTTTTTAATTCTGGAAAATTCAATAAAGTATTTTTTTTTAAAAAAAAGAACTTTACGTGGTCTTAATTTTTTATTCATTACCATTACTTTATCTTCTCTGTCAGAAATTTCCCAAATCATTCACAACTAGTGGCAGTTTGGGCCAAAGATGTGGAACTTCAAAAAGATATGGTAACTAATCCAGAACAGTTAAATTCTTATTTTTTTTAACTTGGGCTCTACATTAATATCACTTTCATTACTAGCAATAGTCAATTGATGAAGCTGAAGATGTGGATAGACAAGAAAGTCCAAACAGATTATCATCTGCATGCCTCATTATTGCCTTTCAGAGTTTGTTTCATCTAATAAGGAAAATACATTGAGCTTGTTCAAGAAATTGTAAATTTCTGATTGAAGAAACAAATTACATTAGCCTCTTTAAAGGAAGAGTGGCAGTTATGCTATTCCTGAAGAAACCTAAATCCAATATTAACATCATAGATTGTTATTGTAATATATTCTTCCTGAAAGCCAGTTTAGCTATTAAAGCATCAAGCTAGAAATAGGAACACTGTGAATTCTAGTGCCTCCTTAGGCAAAAAGCAATTTGGTGACCTTGGGCTAGTCACTTTCTCTCAACCCTAGGATGGAGGCAATGGCAAACCACATCTGAAAAATCTTGCTGAATTAGACATGACTGAATAGAAGGGAGGAAAATCTTCCTAATCAAAGTACCAACTAGTTAAAGAAAATTTGAATACAATTGATTATCTACATATGATTATAAAATTATATATTTTTCCCTATTAGGTCAGCTTTGAGATCAGAAATTGTCTTGATCATTATGAATTGACTTGATGAGAGGAACAGAGTAAATCTAATCTCTATGTCTTTTGAATAGCTCAGAAAATATAGCCCATCAAACATGATCTTCTATTTGGCAAACTATCTGAATTGGACTTGAAAGGGTTACATTACTATGTATCTATTACTTAGCCAATTCCAGAAAATAAAACTGAGGAATAGTTGTTCTGATACTATATAGAAACTTTCTCTGAGCTTTAATTTATCATTCAAATCATTTATATATATACAGAAGAATGTTGTGAAAGGTTATCTAGAGACATGATCTTCATATGAAGATACACATGAAATCTTGTTTCAGAAGGACTTTAAGAAAAAAATAAAATAATATTTGTTAAATATGAATATTACAAGTATATTTTCCTGATGTTAATCTCTCATAACAATTTTCTCCAACTTCAATACCTTTGGTTATTATTTAGCAAGGGTTAAAGTTTCTTAATAAAATATCAATTCACAACTTGTAAGATCTGTAGACCTTGACACACTTTGGCATTTGAATATTCCAGGACTTCATAAACTTCTTTGCTTGTTCTGGGATTTCCTAGTTATTACAGGATGTCATCAGAATTAACCTGCTGCCTACATTGAAATGAATGTATCTGAGGATATTGATGTTGGTGTGCTTTACCCTAAGTTTAAACGAAGAATGCATAAAAGGTAAAGAAGATGAGAAGGAGGTACTTAACAAAGTAGTCAAGGAACATGATCTTAGAAACCTGTTGCTTAATTTCATTATATCAATAACCAAAGCTTTCTTCAACAAAGAAAGCAGCTAAGCTTCTTGTGCCTGTAAACAAAATAATGACATGCATATGGAGAGATATTTAAAGATATTTCTTGGCAATTTCATACATTCAAGAAGTACTAATAATTAAAATGATGTAATTATCAATGAAACATTCCTTCCAATATTTCTGTTACAAGAAAGTTTAATTCCTCCCTTAACTCCCTTCCTAAACTGTCCTGCCTCACGTCATGCACTCTACCACTAGATCCTGTTCAAATCCCTTTCCAGTTCTTTACTTATTAATCTTTATTCTCTTTTTTCCATTCTACTTCACATAACTATATGCCCCATGTGAAATCAATCAGTCCACATTTCACAGGTTCATCTAATTAGCCTCCACTTTGCTTCAAAACCAAACGCAGTTCAATTTATAGAGAGATGCAGAAGACAGGTTGGTAATCTTATAGTGATATCTATATTTCAGATTTTAAAACAATAGCTAAGAAACAATCTTCAATAGCAAATCTATTAATGATATATTGGACATAATGTGTAATCAAGAGTATGTTCTGTTTTTTTTTTCTAATATAGTTTCAGTAAAGGAAATAATATACCTGTGTATAAGATAGATAAATAAATCTTTTTTTTAATAAAGGGAAGAGGGAAAGTTCAATCTTCCTGAGTAGGCACATGCTGGAGTTCTGATTTATTTTAAGAGCTGCTATAGAATAAGAAATGAAATCTTATTAGAATGTGTTTCTCCATAGATTGTGACAACCTGGAACTTCAAAGACATTCTCTTGCTATCTCTTCTCTCTACAGCCATGCTACATGTGGATATTTGTGCTGCCTTGTTGATGCAACATTGTCATAACCAATTTTAATGGAAGGATTGTCAATAAGCTAATGCAACTTCTGTTGTCATAGTAGCATCCTGCCATTTTAGTGTTCATTATTGGAAAATAATTTGCTTTTATTCTCATATTAAAATAAATTCCTGTCATCATTTTATTTATTTCACCATTTGTTCTAACAGTTCAGATGACAGCAAATGCATTCATAATCATCTGTGACCAGTTTCATGTTGTAGGGTTTTAAGAAACTTCAGAAAGAAATGAAATAAGTTAATTGAGATCAATCAAGTGTCATTAACATTTTCATATGTTCTTGAACGACATAAAATAGAAATGTGTAAATAGCGCAAGGGCACAGCAAATGTAATTTAAAGTGGCATATTTCCTCTGAACTGTAAGAACTCAAATAGATAAAGTTTCTGCATTAATAAACAATGTTCCTGCCCTTTTTCAAAGGCCTGGGTCTTTTCTTAGTTGTGTTTAAGTTAAAACCATCAGAAATCCTTTTTTATTTACTTTTATTGGTTACTGATTAGTTAAAATGAAAGTATGATTGTGTAATTTGGCATTCTAG